TAATTGCTTCGCTTCGTCTTCAACCTCTATCTTCTTCCTCTCCTCCTCCAAACTCTAGACCTCTCTATCTCAAATTCAACACCTCACACCGGGAAAATCTCCGTTACCTCTCTTCCCTCGGCGTAATTCCTCAAAATCCCCGTTTTGCCCCTCCGGTGGACAACCTTCCCGTTATCCTCTCCGCCGTGAATTTCCTAAAATCGAAAGGAATCTCCGACGAAGATTTCCCACGCCTCGTATTCCTCTGTCCACAGCTCTTCTCTCCGACTTTCGACATCTCCAAACTCAATCCCGTCTTCGATTTTCTCACCGCCGAGCTCGGAGCCTCCGCCGCGGAATCAAGAGGGTTGATCGTGAATTGCCCGAACATCCTCCTCTCCGACGTCGAGTATTGCTTGAGACCGACGCTTGTTTACCTAAAAGAGCTAGGGTTACGGAATCTAAACAGAGCGAGCAAGACGAACGCTCACGTGCTGAACACGAGAGTAGAGAAGCTAAGAGCTAAGATGAGATTCCTCAGGAGCATAGGGTTCGAACACGAGGAAGCAGCTCGAGTGTGTGGGAGAATCCCAGCGATATTTGGATATAGTGTTGAAGATAACTTGAGACCAAAGTTTGAGTTTTTGATTTACGACATGGAAAGAGAATTAGAAGAGCTAAAGAAGTTTCCTCAGTATTTTGGGTTTAGCTTGAGGAAGAGGATACAGCCAAGGCATTGGCATTTGAAGAAGAAGAACGTTAGGGTTTCACTTAGTAGAATGTTGATGTGGGGTGATGATAAATTCTACTCCAAATGGAAGCTATGAGAGTATTTGTTTCTCTAACTGTTAAATATGCAAATATATGTAATTCAGAGAAATTATGAAGCTCTGCTAGAAAATTTTGCATTGCGTTTTCAAGAAAAAGCGAATCCGAATCACATGAAATTGTTTCAGAGAATCATTGATTCGCATAAATAACCAAATCTAGGGGCGCAATTCACAAGCCTCTCTCTTTTAAGGCTGACGAATTAGAACATCCATGTCGGAACCAACTTCTACAATCTTAGCTTCCTTGGATGCCTTTGCTGCTTTCGCGATGCTTTCCACATCAAAATCTATCGCTATCTTCTTCACGAGACCTTCAAGCATCTGTTTGTTGTTACAGAGACACACATTGATTACAAACTATAGCATACAAGTGAAATTGATTCGACAAAGCAGAAAGATTCTTCTTTCAAGGAAGAACTAAAGTGATTTTCGAAAACTAACCAGCGATCCGATTGCTACCAAACTCCGGAACTTGGAATCAACATCTGCAGCTTCCTCTTCTGCAACCTGTTTTAGCACATAATGATTAATACAACAGAACAAAACCAAACAGTGAGACTCTACGAGAAATGCAGGAAACTATTAGGAACATTGTTTCTCTCCCATTTTACTCTGATCTCAGAGATTTGTGCAATTCAGAGGAGATTCGATTCGATGGAGAGATATGAATGTGATATATGCAGCAATGGCTAAAATGACCAGATATAGGCGCACCTGCAACGCTGCTGAAAGAACTTGAGATTGACCTTCTTGATCTTTCTTTTCTATTAATAGCACTGCATAACTGAAGAACAAAAGCATAGATCATGATTTGATGTTCTGTGTCTGATACTATAGAATCAATTTGGCATGAAACTAACTAGAACAAAAGTAATATAAGAGAGATCTTACTTGAGAAGCAACGTCGAATATGCCAGCTGCAGATTCTTATTTGGGGATGAATAACAGTTTGAGAAGGCATCAAGAATCTGCATTGATTGACAGCACATAATAAAGGATGAGTACGCGAGAAACCACTTCTTCAAATTATCATCATAAAACATACAAACACACACGTATAGGCACTATAGTCAAATGTAATTTATAGCTTCATTTCTATTTCCAGACACAGTTCAGCCATGCATACAAGACACAGAAACCAAAAATTCCTCATAGGTTGTGAGTCACTGGCTAAACCAATAAAAGGTTCATCGAGATCATATGTAAGCATGATATAAAACCATGGAAACGAAATAGTACTTACTTGACTATGATGACTCTGTAGCCAGTAATGAAATGAGGAATTCTTGAACAGATTAACCAGGACACGAACAGTTGTTAGAAGATTTGCAGGAAGAGCCGAATCTTCTGTGACTTTCTTTATCAAATCCAAAAGCAGGTCTGATTGAATTAAAGAAACAGAGAGACACAAAAAAAAAAAAAAGAACATTAGTAGATACGTTAATTCAGCTTGGGAAAACATAGCTTAACGTGAGAGATGATTACCATTGTTATTTTCCACATGCTTAATAAGTAGACTTGCTCCATGAGGATGCAAAACAAGCATCCTGACTATATCAGTAGCTGCATATTCAAAAACCATAGGCATAAGAACTTGATCCAAAAGCAAAACATAAGGCTATATCCAAATTGACACAAAGGTAAAGTGGCTGGAATTTATGGTCTGGCAAGAAACACATGGAAACCAAGTATACTATCCAAATAAAGCAAAATTTATCTCATTTTAGATTGTTATACAAGCATATTGAAATCAACTGATTTTGCTATGGCTTCATAATACTTAGAAGAAAATGGCTACCATCAAAACCTCAATATGGAATAATAAACAATTCTCTTTGACTAATTGACTGACAAGAGATGACCTACCAGGAAACATCATTGCAGGTGGCCATGCTTGTAGCACTTTTAAAAGCAAAGCAATATCCATGTCAGCAAAATTGGTAGAGTGGTAGTGTGATGTGTCCTTGAGTATTTTAACGATTGCGCCTACTCTGGATACTTCGCCTTCCGTCAGGTACTTGTCACTATTTACCTTCAAAAGATGGGGGGAAAGTTGTAGAACCATAAATTACCAACATCAGAATAAGTATTAAGTAAACTAATCATTGAATCATTCTTGGTACAAATGTAGTCGTGTGCCAGAAGTCACTGCTGAGAGCTTACCGAGTCAGATCGCAAAGTATTGTTGAACTCTGTCAACTTTTTCAGAATCCCGTCATATTGGGCAACATCGAAAACTAGCACACCTTTCTGGAGAAAACAATGGAAGAAAAAATGATCAATAGCTAGAAACAACAAGAAGTCTGAAGAAAGCAGTCCAACGTACTTTTGGAATGTGCTTGTATAAAGGTTTTGCCGCAGTTGCTGGAACAAAAAAAGAGTCAAAGTGCATGAGGCAAATGGGAGAATAATACGAGAAACTGAAATCCCAATGGAAATTAAAGTATTATAATGTGAAAATAACCCAGACACTGTTTTCATACCAGCTGTACGAGATGCTTGGCCGGGCACATAAGCATTTGCTGTTGTTATACAAAGAAGGCAACACATAAACTTACAATAAAATCCTACAAACAAATTTCAGACATATTTTTTAAAACATGTGAAGCTTACCGCCCGTGAAGGGATCCCGAAACGATGGATTAAAATTGAAGTCTTTCTGCCCAGAATTTTGTAGTATAAATTCAACAATTTGCTGCCGATATGCAAAGGGAAGATTCTCTTTCAGAAGCCACTTGTCAGCTGCGTCATAAGGATTATCTGCCAAAAAAAAAACATTTTAAGTAACATAAATTAAAGCACTCGTTTGTGGTTGCACTTGGAATTAAGACAAGGCTAGCAACACATTTCATGTACCTGATCGATTGTAAGGTAGCTTCCGGATAGGTTCCCCATCACCAATGTCAACATCGAAAACTAAAAGAAGAAAAAAGCGGCTAAGAATTTTTGTTCACTTCGAGTTTTAGAGATTCTGAAATTTCTTTACTAGGCTAACCAAAATCATATTGAGCTCCATCGAGAATTGGACGATCGGCCACACCATCAGGGCCATCAACAACCTCGCCAATCTGAAAAAAGGGCAACGCAGTGAGAACTCAAATCATTCTACCGCAATAGAACACCAATGTTTTAGCAGTTAATATGCGACCAAATATTTGAGATCTAAGGCAACTTATATGTATATTCTACTGCAACAAAACACAACTGATTTCCAAGGGAAGTTATATTTATATTCATGAAATCGAGTAAAGCAGCAATCAGGTCAAGAGAAATACAGCATGCAGTCAACAAACAGACAATGATGATAAAAGTTCATTATGTTGACTTACTTTGTCCCATCTCTGTTCTTTCATATTCCATGCATAAGCAACTCCATTGTCTCCTTCCCTTACGACTTTTGTTTGGCCATCACTGGTACCTAAGAAAGCACATCAAATACTAGAAGATGTTACAAAAATGACCATAGGCAGACAGTATCAATTATCTCTGTGTTCTCTTGATAATTTTTTTTTCAGCTGAGGCTTTTTACCTGGTAACGTCAGAGCATCAAGCCCCGGCAGCTCGTTAAGATTCATTCCCCCAACCTTTTTCCTACATTTAAAAGAATACTTTTGCAGGTCTTACAAGAAATCATGAAATTACCACGTGAAAGAAATACTCAATGGACACAGAATTTAATAGATAAGAGTTGAGATAACCATAAATGATTACCTGCTCAATTTGTACTGAGAAAGTTGGGAATCATAGGCATCAATCTCCATCTGATCTGCAATCACGCCATCACGTACTGTCCAAACACGAACCACTCCGTCTGAACATGCAGTCACAATGTCCCCACTCTCCAAGAACTTGGCATCCCAGACACAGCCTGGGTGCTCCAAACTCTGGACGCATACTCCATCTGTACCAGACAATAACAACGAAGTAAGAACAACAGATCAGCCTATAAGAATTAGACAAGCTTAAAACCAAGGTTAGTCTCTTTTTGCTAGAGATATCAATTACAACATCTACCGCAAAGCAACCTTCGCAAGCATTTAAATTGGTTTCTGATCACATGATACTATCTGAGATGCTAATAGCTAACTTCCCATGAGCTGTAACTAAGTAATTAAAGAAATCTCTAAAAGCCAAGATTGGATTGATATTGGACAGATACTTTCTTAATTTTAACATCTCAGACCTCAGATAACCTAGAAAAACTATAGAACATAAATGAAGAGCAGTCGAGGCAACACCTTTCCATATCTTGGCATGGCGATCTTCACTACCACTAACAATTAGGCCAGATGGATGCGCGTCAACTGAATAAACAATGGATGTGTGGCCAACCATCTCCAAAAGAACTTCGCCACTTAGTGCCCATAACCTGATTGAGCTGTTTAGATAGAATAAAATAGAGGTTTATGAACAAAATATATAATGAACGGATCACAAAACTTATCTAGGTAATGCAAGAGATGGATGAGGTCATGTATGAGCGTGATTCATTTGCAAAATTGTATGAAGTAAGGCAAGAGGTTGCTGGAAGTAAAGAACTTACCCATCATGTGATGCTGAAAGAAATCCTAAATCAGGCATCACGGCTAACCCTCTAACAGTATCTGCAGTCCAAAATAAAAGTAATCAGATTCTATATTATTTCGACATGCAGCTTCACACATTAACAAATAAATTTGTGAGAAAACAGTAAGATTCACCTGTATGCCCTGCAAAAGTTCGTAGACTTGTTTTCCCCTTCCATAGTTTGAGAGTGGTGTCGCTTGATCCTGGTAGAAACATAAGTAATTAGTTAACACAAGCTGGATAAGGAAGAAAACGATTGAACAAGACATGAATGCATCAAATGAGATTATATACCTGAAACGAGCTCACCAGATGGTAGCTTTAACACTGTTTGGACAGGCGACTGGTGTGCCTCCCAAGACTCAACAAGCTGGCCGTTTCTCCATCGTTTTAGAGTTCTTCAGAAAATAATCAAAAGGAAACTTAAGTTAGACTAAACAACATCAGTCCAATACTTGAGGGATCTGTCTACCCATGTATAACTGTAGCTAAGACAACAATGCACACAGATAATACTCAAAAACACGCTTCTAACCACGGTTAAGAAAAATATAGTATCCCATATGGGTAACATTTACTTGGGAACAGCAAAGGAAAACCACAGGCTAATACACTCACTGGGTTTTAATCAAGAAACGTTATTGACTAAACAGTTTGTAAGTTTCAACTAAGAAAACTACATGAACAAAAGGAAGACTTACTGATCAACTGAAGCTGACACTATGTCCTCATTATCAACAGTAACGCCAGTTACTTGCATCTTATGACCTTTCAATGTCTGAATATTCTCTCCATTGATCAGGTTCCAAACAATAACGAAAGTATCCATGCTCCCAGAGACGAGTCTCCCTTCAGGGTATTCCTCATTCTGTGGAATCCATGCAAGCGGTCCAACGAAGCTTGTATGACCCAGCAGAATTTTAGAGGAGGTATACAGACGCTTATCAGATGGATCCACTGACCAGACCCTTATGGTTCTGTCTCTCGATGAAGTAGCTATATTCTCATCACTGCACATACATATTCCACGAACCTGACCATGTATAACCAATGAGTTCCAGTGTTACAATCACAGTTTTTACTCAACTGCATTAGCTAAATAGCATAAGATACAGTTAATGATGTATACCAACAAGTATCAACAGAGTTAAATAAACCCTTATTAAGTTTCGACTAATCTGCATTATTGGCTCGCAAAGTTAAACATCAAACCGATAAGAAAAAATTCTCAATTTCAGCATCCAACATCTACATATCCCTGAAATTTCCAGCTGATAAATAAAGCTAATCGAAACAAAATCTCACGCTAATTATCAAATTGAAACAAAACCCGAATGCAAAATCGCATCCAGGTAATTGTAAAGGGCGGAAGAAAGAAGCTGGGAATCACGGGGATGATTATGCTAAACACATTCAAAAGTTTCGAAATCTAGAAAAAGAATCGTCGATTAACAGAAAAGAGAATACAGAGTAAAGAAGGAAGTGGATCTTACGTCGTCATCGTGGCCACGAAGCTCGCACCTGAGCTTGTAGTCGTTGAAATCGATATCCATAACCATGACTCAGAGAGGAGGAGCGAGTAGAGAGACTCAAAAGTGACTTGATGAAGGAGGAAAACTCAGAGAGACGGAGAGAATCAATCGGTCAATTATAATAACTATAAGTAACATGAGCCTTTAAAGCCCAGCCCAGCCCAATTCCCAAACTAA